CCTTAATTCAAATCTCAGCTCTGCTCCTTAGTAATGACTTTAGACAACCCATTTAATTCATCACAGCCTCTATTTTCTCTTCTATAAAGTAAGGAAAAGGGCACCTAATAGAGTCATTGTGTGATGAAATGAGACATGCAAACGTTTATTAATGGTAGCTGGTAGGATAATAGTAGGATAGGAAATCAGGGAAGAAGAGCCTAACTTGGAGGAGTGAATTAAAATGACAATCCCCACTTGTTTAGCTAAGGTGAAGACAGCATGGCTGTTTATGTACGAAAGCACCTCAACAGAGGCACAAAAATTTTGAGGGGACACAGAGGAAGGACAGGTTGTAAGTATGCAACCCAAATGTCCTCAAGGCAGCCTTATATTCAGTTAGAACAGCTCAGTCCCTATTCCACATTCTCAGGGAAGTCCACACCCTCCCCTGTTTTTACTAGGACTCTGTAAGGGTCTACATCCTCATGATCACCTCTCAACCTGAATCCCTGCTTTTGCTAAATTATTTTATTTTATTTTATTTTATTATTGTTGCCAGTACTACAGATGTCCCCTATTTCACCCCTCCACCCAGCCCTAGCCTCACCCCAGGCCTTCCCCACACTATTGTTTCTGTCCATGTGCTATGCATCTATAATAATGAAAGCATAATATGCTAATTAGACCAGACAGCCGACAAACCTTCCGGACGTCCTTCCAGCATGAATTTTGTGCATTAGGCCTCTAGTATGTACATATATGTTCCCCTCTGAGATCTGTCAGTCTGTTCCATGCATCCATGCCTCTTGCTAAATTCTTGATCACTAGGTTGCTCCCTTTCCATGGCTGCCATCCTCTCTCAACTCCACAGGTATCAGAAAAAGTTTTTCTCCCTGTTCCCAAATCACCATGAATATCAGGTATTGTGTATAGGACACCTTTACTGAATGTCTGGGGTGTTCATGGGGAAGCTAAGCATTCACAGAAGAAGGTGTAAAGTTAAAACTGAGTATTAGGCATCACTGGTGTAAAATTTCCCCCCGACAGTCCTCCTACTGGAATTTCTCTCTGGTGAAGCTTCTTCTTCTCCTCAGGTTGCTGTCATTGACTAGCCCTCCTCTTTCTCAGGAGTTAGCACAGAACATGCCAAAAGTCCCACCAACTTCATATTCAGCAAATGTAGTTCTATAACACCTTCCTATCGAGGTCATGCCCAAAGGCTCACCATGTTATTTCTGATCACAAGAGAGCTACTGATGCCTCTGAAAGGAATGTGAAATTGCAGTTGTCTTTTTAAATTAGCCTTTTCCTCCAAAAGACTCTCTAAGAAGTAGTGACTTGGGGGCTGATCTTGAATCAGAAAGAAAATTCTAGCAGGCTGAGATTGGAGGGTTGTGCCTGGGGAAGCAAGGAAACAAGGCTCTGTGGCAGGATGAGGGAGAGACTCCAAGAACTGGGAGATGAAAGGTCAAAGGGCTGTGTTCTAGCATCTCGAGATGAGTCTCGTGTGGATTCATGAAAGGATTTTAAGCGGAGAAAGAATAAAAGCAAATTTGAGCTTCAGAAAAAGGACAGAGTAAGGAGATACCATTTGTTAACTATCAGAATGGCAGACTTAAAACAGCACTGAGAAAGGTGTGGGGAAAGTAGCATGCTTTAACACACTGCTAGAGGAGTAAATGGAACAAGCATTTTGGAGAGAAGTTGGGCAATTTTAGGAAAGCGGTGGGGAGATGGAGACTCCAAGTGCTTGGAGCAACCTATGTAGGACTTTCCGACTGGATGAAAACACGGGTGTTGGAAATCTGGGGAAATGGTGAGACAAGGGCAACGGCACAGGTACAGGCTCAAGAGAGCCAATTCTCTTCTCAGTCAGTGACATTATGTTAGTAGCTTGAAATTAGCCATGGTTGGGTATTTACACCGCAAAAAGCAGCAAATGCTACAAAACAAGACTTCATCTCTTCCTGCCCCCAGAGAGCAGTTTAACAGCATTCCACTTACTGCCCGAGCCCATCCTCATCCAGCAACCCCTTGAGTTCTTTCAGCAATGGCTGCACTTTGACCTTACATGCCAACAGAAAGCCCAGGCCTGCTGCTCTGGGCTGGACCTTAAGCAGCCTACTGGACTCTAAGTGGTCTCCCTAGGCCTAGTCCAGTTCCTGCTTGATATTCTAAAGAAGTAGAGGACTGGGGAAGGCACCTCTTTCCAGCTGTGTGGGAGCAGAGAAAAATGGGGAAATGACAGGACAGGTAGCTGGACCTCCTTCCATGCAGGAGCAGAAACCCTCATCTCAACTCTGATAGTCACAGACAAGCCTCTTGTCTTGTGGGCTCTGCACCCTTAACCACTACTATACCAGCTTCCTGTAGAAGTCCCCGGACTTGGTAAAAGCTGGATGCTGGAGTGGAGGGAGAATGAAGAATTGAAGATCATTGTCAGATTTCAGGCTTAAACGCCCAGGTAGGCTATGGTGAGATGTGAGCATAGGAAGAAGAAGAAAAGATCTGACAGGGTGTATTGGAGTTAGTAATCGTTTTTTGGGGGGGGACTCGGTGAGTTGAAGTGCCTGTGGAACAACAAACAGAGATGTCTAAGAAGTAACTTGAAAATTTTAAGATCAAGAGGGTGATAAAGACTTGGGAATTACTGCTATATAGATGCACATGGAGCTATGAGATCACTCGGGCAATATAAGGGGCAAAGCAAGGCTATCTGGGGAACAGCAACATTTAAGAGAAAGAGCAAAGAAAGAAAGAAACGGGGTGGGCAGTAGGAGGAACTAGGAGAATGTGATACATCGCAGAACCCAAAGAAGGAGAAGAATATCAAATGTTGCGGAAAGGTTGAGTATGATAAGGATTAAGATGAGAGACACAATGAGGTTATTGTGGCTGGGCCAGAGTAAAGACAGTGGTAGGAGATGAGATTTAAGTAGGCAGGGACCAGGTCAGGCAGGATTTTGTGTGCCAGTAGGAGGTGTCTGGATTTTATTCTAAGTGCAGTAGGATCATTAGAGGAATTTAGCAGGGGAGCAAAGAAATACGATTTGCAGTCTAAACATAGCCCTACATTACGTGGAAGACAGATGAAAGGGGTGGAGTGGAGACAGTTAGGAAGCTATTGTAGTCATTCAGACTTGGACTAGGATGGTAGGAGAAGAGGTGGTAAAAAGTGTTCAGATTCAGGATACATTTTTAAAAGATATCTGGGTACTAATGAAAAAAATAAAAGATATCTGATTGAACTCAAGATAAGAGAAAGACAGAAACCAAAGAGTACTGAAATTTTGGGTTTGATCAACTGAGTAGTGTTGCCATTTATAGACGTGGATAAGACTAGGAAAAAATAAAACAGGTTTAGGCATGGGAACCAAAATCAAGAGTTTTATTTTGGCCATCTTAAGAATAATACGCCCATTGGACATACAAGTGGAGATGCAATCTAAATCTGGAAGAAAGTTAGACATATTAATTTTGAAATCATCAGTATATACCTAGCATCAAAGCCACGGGCCTATATGAACATTAAAGCTGTCTTTCCTCTCTCACTTGACCTGATAGAGGTTGGATGGCCATTGGTTGGGGGCTGGGAGAGGCATCCAAAATCATCCACATTGGGCAAAGGCAGCTGGTCTTTGAACCTGAGAGCTGGACAGGAACCAGGACTAACATGGCTCAGAGACTTCGTGCAAAGAAATGATGCCAGAGAAACTAAGACCTCACAGGAAGGCTGAAGGATTTCCATTCCCCTCCTCTTTCTCCCCTCCCCTTAAGGTGCCATTCCATTCCCTGTGGACTTTACAAATGTTCTATGTTAAAAGCATTAATTTGGGAGGAAGAGAGAAAGGTGATATTAAGGACACTCAAACCTGTAGAGCCAGCAATGGGAGCTCCAACTCCCTGTGGGAGTTTATGTGGCATATTACCTCCCCTCCCCTGCCCCAGCCTGCAAGAGTCAAAGCTTCTGAGAGTTGACATAAAAGCCACCCATAGTTACAGCCCTCCAGGAGGAGGCCTGGGCTTCAGACAAGGGGTCATGCCCACTATTCTGCTGCTAATGTGAGGAAGATGAGCATGAGCTGAAGAGCTGAGACCAACCATCCCCTGATTTCAAGCCAACTAGATAAAAATACTGAAGACTAGTGCTTCTCTAACTTTAATGTGTATTCGAATCATCTGGCAATTTTGGTAAAATGCAGATTCTATTTTGGTACATCTCGAGTAGGGCCCAAGATTCTGCATTTCTAATAAGTTCCCAGGTAATGCTTTTGCTGCTGGTCTACTGACCACACTTTGAACAGCAAAGAATGAGAGGCAGCTGTGGAGCTACCCACAATGAAAGGGGCATGTCCAGTTCCAGGGAGAATGTGTTCACTTGTGCACAAAGTCACAGAACCTATTAAAATGGAAATAGCCACCATTTTGTTGTGGTTGTGTGGCAGGTGGTCATTTCTTGGCACTACACTTTCCAAGAGCAACACATGGTTGTTAAGCACTTGGTTTCTGAGCTTTACCTCTGAGTAGGCATATGATCTGAGGCAAGCCTTCAACTTCTCTTCATCTTAATTTGCTCACCTCTCTAATGGGAGTAATAAGACTATTGTGAGGATTAGCTAAGTCAATAGATATGAAGCACTTAAAACATGGCAGCACAGTCAGTGCTCACTGTTAGTAAATGTTACTATTTTTGTTGATAACATGCCCTTCTATAATAGTCAACTTAGACACACATGGACGCTGAGTCTCCTTTTGATACATGGTCAAATTATAACCCCCATCACACTCCCACCAAAAAGCCTGTATCCTCTCTTTCAAATCCCTCCTACCCGCTTGTCCCCTTTCCCCTCCCCTGGCCCCTGGCCCCAGTGTGGTCTGGATAGGCCCCAGAGGGGCAGGGACAGGGACAGGACGTGGGGCTGTATCTGACAGGAACCTGAGGGGCTGGCCCGGGAGGGGATTGGGGCCCGGCTTCCTGAGGGAGGATGGGCTAAGGCAGGCACACAGTGCCGGAGAAGATGCCCTCCTGGGCCCTCTTGGTGGTCACCTCCTGCCTCCTCCTGGCTCCCCCAAACCTGGCACAAGTCACCAGCCAAGGTGAGGTGTATGGAGGGTGGATCTCACCTATAGACAGGAAGAGGGAGCCCTGGGAGGGATGCAAGTTAGGAGGCTCCCACTGGTCCCCTATCTTTCTCAAACATGCCTGGAAGGACCCAGAGCCCAACTCACCAGCTGTTCCTCAGATGCCTCCTTGCTGGCCTTGGACTCAGAGCCTCTGAACTGTTTTTCTCAAACATTTGAGGACCTCACTTGCTTCTGGGATGAGGAAGAGGCAGCACCCAGTGGAACATACCAGCTGCTGTATGCCTACCCAGGGTATGTGCTGGGCTGTGCCCCACTCCCCTGCACCTGTCCTGTTCTTACCTCAGCTGAGCCCTGCTCCAGTAGCTTCCCTGCCTTTGGCCCCATAAGAGAATTACTTCAAGTACATGCCTTCAGTAGCCACTTAATGAATTGATGTGCTTTGGATAGATCCAGCTCAAGCCTCCACATAACCCCTCATCCAACCTATCCCAGGCCCTGAGAAAAAAGAGATAGTAATGGAAATAGAAGTAGGGCTTGGGGCCAGCCTGGGTCCTGAGGGTGGCTGGGTAGGTAGGATGGACTTTTCCTCTGCCCACAGGGAGGAGCCCCGTGCCTGCCCCCTGAGTTCCCAGAGTGTGTCTCCCGTTGGAATTCGTTATGTGTGCCAGTTTCCAGCCCAGGATGAAGTTCGTCTCTTCTTCCCACTGCACCTCTGGGTGAAGAACGTGTTCTTGAACCAGAATCTGACCCAGCGGGTGCTCTTTGTGGACAGCGTGGGTAAGGGCCATCCTCCGTCACCCTGGCCCCTCTATTTGCTGCCCCCAGGCTAGATCATAGAGTCAGACCAGTTGGTGCTCTTTCAGGACAACATGCATGGCCTCCATTACTAGACCCCCAGAGACACCTCAAGACACCCTGTCATTCCTCCCAGCCTTGGCATCGAGACCTAGACTTCATTTCACACCAGAGATACCCTGGCCTTCCCATCATTAACCTATTCATTTACACACTCATTCAACAGTGCCAGGCTCTGTGCTAGGCGACAAGTATACAGAGATCCCTGCTCTTGATGAAGAGAGATCCCCACTCTTGAGGAGCACTGAGTCTAACTAACTTGGAATGAGGTCACTGTTCTCATGAGGAAAGGAAAACAGGATAAGGAGTCTCCCTGCCCTGCCCTCCAAGAGAGCCAATCCAGCCTCCAGCACCCCTCTCTACAATCCATGGGTTAAACTGTAGACTGTGGCATTCAGACAGTTCTGATGTGCTCTATCTTGCCCTCAGGCCGACCAGCTCCCCCCAATATCATCAAGGCCATGGGCGGGAGCCAACCAGGGGAACTTCAGATCAGCTGGAAGGCCCCAGCTCCTGAAATCAGTGATTTCCTGAGGCATGAACTCCGCTATGGCCCCAAGGATCCCAGGAACTCCACTGGTCCCACAGTCATGCAGTTGCTGTCCACAGAAACCTGCTGCCCAGCTCAGTGGAGGCCAAACCCAGCCCCAGCTCTGGACCAGACTCCATGTGCACAGCCCCAACAGGATGGACTAGAGCAGACCTCCCTAACTAGAGAAGTATTCTGGCCTTCTTCCACTCCACTTCCTATCTCCTACCCCGAATTATTTTGCCCCAAGAAAGGACAGGCCATACTTTGGGGATACTAGATTGGGTTGGTCCTCGGGGAGTTAGTACAAACTCTGATTGGTCCTCAGGAACTGTGTCTATTTAGGGATCTTCCACTCTGGGTCATTCATACCAACAAAGTTGAGAGCTTCAGGCCTCCAAATTAATGGGGACTTCCCTACAAAACCCTGACCACCACCTGAAAACCACTGACCTGGCCTCCAGTCTGTGTGCATATCTATCCAGTAAGGAACTGAGCATCTCTCCACAGGCATGCTGTGGGGCTTCAAATATAAGAGATGGAGGCTGTCTTGGCTGAGAGGCAGACCTAGATTCTGAGACTGGGATTCTTCTCTCAAGGCTCCGTCTCTGACAGTGAGGAGTGGAAGCTGCCTCATCTCAGGGCTCCAGCCTGGGAATTCCTACTGGCTCCAGCTGCGCAGTCAACCTGATGGGGTCTCCCTCCATGGCTCTTGGGGACCCTGGTCCCACCCTGCGACTGTGGACCTGCCTGGAGATGCAGGTGAGTCATAAAGGAATGGGGAGATGAAGAGGAAAGGAAAAGGTCTTTAGGGAGGCATGGGCTGGACATGGAAGCTCTGATAACCCTGGTCCTTCCTGATGACCTCAAACTTGCAACAGAGAACTATGTTCAGGGAGAAAACAAAGAATCGGAGTAAATGTTCCAAGTTATATATGTTAAGATGATCTGGATACCATATAGAGTAGAAGCCTGTGGGCCCTAATGTGACTTTCTTCTCTGATTCAGTGGAAATTGGACTACAATGCTTTACCCTGGACTTGAAGAATGTTACCTGTCAGTGGCAGCAACAGGACCATGCTAGCTCCCAAGGCTTCTTCTATCACAGCAGGCCATGGTGCTGTCCCAGAGACAGGTGAGAGTTGAATTGCTGGTTGTGCTTGATGTCATGGGAGAGAGGCACAATCTTGCCAAAAGAAGGGAGAGGTTGTTCTTGGTCCTCTTCACTCCTCTCCCTGTCCCAAAACCAAATGGCCTCCATGCTCTCATCCTCCAATGGGTGTTTTATCTTCTCAACCTCTCCTCATACCCACTGGGAATGTCTTGGGTTAGTTCAGTTTTAATCATGTCACCTGGACCACTACAACAGCCTATATTCTCATTCACCTCCAACTCATCCCCCATGCTGCTGACAGAGTGACCTTTGTTAATCTCAGATTTTGCCTGGCCTTCCCTTACTCAAATATGTACTGCAACTTTCACTATCAAATCCAATCAAAACTTTGCCTGGTCTTCAAGAAATTCCACCAAACATCTCATTGATTTGTCACCCCCACCATACCCAATATATAATCAAGGCTTGTTGATCTTGCGTATTAAATATCCTAATACGGCCACCATCAACTCTCACTTGGGTGCCTGAGAATATTCATTAACTGATCACCTCTTGAATCCTCAAATCATTCTCCACACAGGAGCTGCAGTGATCTTTTAAAAATGAAAACATGAACATAACACTTCCTACTTAAAAATCTTCAATTGATCTTAGGATAAAGAATTCTATCATGGCCTTAGAAAGTTCTAAAGACTCAGCCCTTAACTCAGCCTTAAGCCTCTGGTTATACTGTGCTGCCTTTTGCTCTCCATTCTCTGGTACTGGTCTTCTTGGGTTTCCTCTTATTTACCATATTCCCTCCTGCCTCTGAGTCTTTGCCCATGCTGTTTACCCAGCTCTCCTGCCTTTACTTAACTTCCACTTATCCTTCAGATAGACCTCAACTCAAATGTCACCTCCTCAGGGAACCTTCCCCTGACCTTCCAATAGCACTACTATACATCCTTGTTGTACCAGGTACCTCTCCTTCTTAAGTACTTATCATAGCTACAATTTTACATTTATAATTTATATGGTTACTTGGTTGATAATAAAATGTTCTCTCAGCCTTGGCTAGGTAGTTCAGTTGGTTGGAGCATCATCCCACACACCAAAAAGGTAGCAGGTTTGATTCCCAGTCAGGACACATACCTAGGCTGCAGGTTTGATCCCCCATTGAGGCACATGTAGGAGGCAACTGATCAATGTTTCTCTCTCACAGCAGTGTTTCTCTCTCTCTCTCCTCTCTCTCTCTCTCTCTCTCTCTCTCTCTCTCTCTCTCTCTCTCTTCTCTCTCTCTCTTCCATCAATAAACATATCTTCAGGTGAGGATAAATTTTTTTTTCGGACAGAATTCCAGTTGGAAAAGGCTGATCTTGACTATACAGGATCAATGAAGGCAAAGTCAGTGTCTGTTTACACTCACCAATGTATTTTCACCTATCACAGTGCCTGGAATATAGTAGGTGTTCAGTAAAAAATTGTTGAATGAATGAATAATGAAACACTATTCACAGTTTTAATGTATTTTTCCAGTTTTTCTATACATTTATATATGTCTATACATAATCATTTTCAGCATAAATTGCACATATCTGTATGTGTATATATATATTATATATATGATATTTACTTTTTTAAAAATATGCCTTGGAGATCATTAAAAAATGCAACTCATTGTTTTTAATAACTGCATAGATTTCCATGTATACAGGTGCCTTGAATGGATTCAAGGATGACAAAACTGAAGTTATCCTTTCCTCCACCAAAACCTGCTACTCCTCTTATTGTCCTCCATCCTACCACCAGCTCAATTTTTCAGGCCTAAAACATGAAAATTATCCTGGACTTCTGCCATTTCTATACCCTTGAAATCCAATCAGAAATACTTATTTCTACCTCTTCAGTATCTCTTGAATCCATCTATTTCCCTCAACCCCCATTGCCACAACCCTATTTTCAGATCCTCATCACTTTGCACATGGAAACCATGTGCAATGTCCTAATGGATTTCTCTCCTACTCTACCCTCACAAATCCTTTCCTACAAACTGCAGTTAGAATGATCTTCCTAAAGTATAAAGCCAATTGTGACAATTCCTGTTTAAAATCTTTTTAAAAACATTCATTTTATTGCTTTTTTTTACAGAGAGGAAGGGAGAGGGATAAAGAGTTAGAAACATCGATCAGCTGCCTCCTGCACACCTCCTACTGGAGATGTGCCCACAACCAAGGTACATGGCCTTGACCGGAATTGAACCTAGGACCTTTCAGTCCGCAGGCCGACGCTCTATCCACTGAGCCAAACCATTAAAATCTTTTAATGTCTCTGTAGTTACTACATGATTGAGTTCAAGCTCCTTAGAAAGGCCACAGGGCCATCCATGACCGTGGTCTGCTCTCTCACATTTACCACTCACCACCAGGGTGATAAAAGCATTCTACACCACTTCAAATTTCCCCCAAAGCATCATATCTCTTATCTGTGCCCAAGCATGTGCCTCAAATGCCTGTTTGTCCCCTTTGCCTCCTATTTATAGTCCAAGACTCAGTTTAAGCACTGCCTTGTCCAGGAAGTAGTCTCTGACCCTCCCATTTTGGGGAAGATCATCTGCCTTGATACTCCCCAACCAGCCTGTGCACAGCACAGAAAAATACCATCTGTTTGTTTGTCTGCCTCTCCCATTGAAATGAGAGCTCCTTGAAGATTACTTCTCTATGTATTCATAGGGCCTAGCACAGTGCCAGGCACATAGTTTCAATAATTTGGTGAATGCATGAGTAAACATAAAATACATAAAATGATAAATAATTTTCATAATAACTAGCCACTTACAGGTTAGCCACTTACAGGAAGTCGACATTTGGGGGACTTAAATTTTAGTGGGAGAAGGGGAGGGAGTGACAAACACGGTTATAGGATAGAGACTAAGTGGGAGGATGGGGCGGGGCTGCTAATTTAGACTGAGTGGTCAGAGAGTCTCACCAAGGTGACAAATGAGCTAAAACCTAAAAGGCAAGAAGGAATAAGTCACTGAAAATCTAGAGCCAGAGCAATCTAAGGCAAAGTGAAATGCAAACACTGCGTTTGGCATAACTGTAGCAGAGAAAGAAGGCCCCTGTGAATGAAGGGTGGTAAACTGGTATGAGAATTATAGAACAAGAAAATGGTGAGGTAGGGAGGAGCTAAATCATATAGAGTACTGAAGGCCCTGGTATGTATAGAGTTTGGATTTTATTCCAGGTGGGATGGGAAGCCATTAAAGGATTTTAAGCGAAAGAGTGACATAATATGATTTACATTTTAAAAAGATATGCTTCTTGCTCTAGCTGGTTTTGATTCAGTGGCTAGAGCGTCAGCCTGCAGACTGAAGGGTCCTGGGTTCGATTCCAGTCAAGGGCACATGCCCGGGTTGTGGG